CCAAGGGGTTAACATACTTTTTCTTGTAACTGTATATGTTTTGATATGTTCACTTGAAAAGGAAGCTATCAGCTGTCCACTAACCTTCGCAGCCTTGGGAACAGAATGATGTGTCTTTATGAACAAGGGAGCTCACAACTAAATTGGCCTCATCTGCTTGCACTGACAGGTTTTCTCTAGAACAAACATATCCTGCACAGGTAAATATACAGGTATATCCCATACACAATATTTTTTCAAGTATAAACTCTGATGCTGTCTTGCCTTTAGCCAATTAGAGCCTATTGGTAGTCTAGTGCCCCGTGGACTCCACACCAGTTGCCAGTCAAAAGCAGTGAAGTTGCTCTTTTCGATACTTGAGTAAATCACTTGTTAATGTAACTTCATTCTGGAAAAAAAATAAAAGTCAGTAGCTACAAATACTGTAGCTGCTGACTTTTAATAAACACGGACTTACCAGTCTAGGGATTCAGTGCTGTCTTCACCTGGGCTGGTTCTTCGTTGGTCTTTGTTTCCCCGGAGCCACCAGCTTGGATCTGGGAGGCCAGCTGTGACTTCCAGGTGCTTCACAGCCAGGTACTACAGCACATGTGTGACAGGTCCAAGGAGATTATGGGGGGGGGGGGGGGGGGGGGACTTCAGCTCGGACTGCAGGTACCTGCTTCAAGTAAAATAAATCCAAAAGTAGTAGAGGAGGAGGAAAAGTGGAGCTTCCCTTTTTAGATGAAGGTTCGCTAGAAGTTTCGCTAGAAGCCATTTATAGCTTTCCTGAGGTCAGATCTAATGAACATATACTTGTTTTGGAACACCATCAACTATCAAACCTAGGTTTTTTTTGTATACTGCATTTACATGGTTGACTTCCCTGTTCTTATCTTCGGTCAAAATTGAAGGTTTCACTGGTCATCATATCCTCTAGTCAGCTAGTTCCAAAGGTTTGGCATAATGTACCAGTAGAAATACTGGTATGTCACCAAAAAAAGAAACAAAGCTCAAAGTTGGTAAGAATAGGCTGCCAGCAGAAATTATACCATAGATACGGTTTGACCTGAATCTGCTTGAAAGATATTTGCCTTGCCAGCATTTGATTGCACTAACAGCTACATGATGGGGTCTAGCATCTAGCTAGAAATTAACCTGTTGGTGTTGACAGTACGCAAGTATGTGGCCTCTTGGCCGCTGTGCCTTGACATGCAGAATGGCTGCATATTTGCATACCAAAAGTGACCAACGTGTGTTGAGAGCACACACGCCCTGTGCAATCCCTGCAGGTTTACCCCCACAAGTAGTGATTGGGACTTTCCGATCATGTGGCCGCTGTGACAGCCAATCACAGTAGTCACATGTCCCTAAACCCTCCCGGCATCACAAACACCTTAAAGGGCCACTTTCCCCCCAGGGGCGTATCTACCACGAGGCAAACAAGGCATTTGCCTAGGGCAGCAATTTTTAGGGGGGCGGCACCGCTCCCCGGAAGAAGGGACCTTTTGAACAGTGACGGACAGGCCACCATTAGAGGGGTACCACTGGTACTCTTTCAGTGGCCTGGACAGCAGGAGGATTGATGTGGTGGGGCTCCAGCAGCTGATGAGCCAGGACCAGGGAACAGCCTGGAGCAGGGAGAGGAGAAGTGGCGGAGATGAAAGAGCCCGGAGGAGGTGAGCTGTGTTGTGTTCTGTGGGATCTCCCTCCTGTCATCCATCCAGCACATGAGACACTGATGGATCGTATGGGACTACACCCCCCCCCCCTTTCCTGCTGCCCGGAGATCAGAAGCCCTTGGAGAAGGTGTGTGCAGTCCCATATGATCTGAGGGGGGAAGGGAGGGAGAGGGGGGGGGAGAGAGAAGAGAAAGAGGGAAGAAGGGGTGAGAGAGAGAAGAAGGGGGTGAGAGAGAGAAGAGGGGAGGGAGAGAGAGAGAGAGAGAGAGAGGAGGCAGGGGAGACAGAGAGCGAGGGAAGAGAGAGAGGGAAGAGAGAATCATATATACATACACACACTGTTTGACTCTCTTGCTCTCTCATGGGGGGGGGGGGGCGCAAAATTTTTGTGTTGCCTAGGGCAGCACAAAATCTAAATACACCACTGTCTCCGCCTCTCGGCGCCAAGGGGTTAAACTCACGTTGCAGTTTATAACTTTCAGTTAAGGATACACCACCATTTGCTATATTACATTTTGGATTTTGAGAAAGTTTACTGTGGATACTAATTGAAATGAGCAGATCTTTCAGAAGCATTAGATTACAAAATAACTTGATTAGCAGTCGTACATCCCAATATGTGTCTGGTTTTCCTTTAATATTTTCAAACTGCATTTGTATGAAATTGCTTATTAAAGTGATTCAAATGTCACAGCATTGTTTACCTTAATGCATTCTGTGCATTTAGATAAAATCTCTCCACTATTGATCCTGGTCCTTCCTGCCCCTAAACACTCGGTTCCATGTTGCCAGTCCAGTGCTGTCCCATCTGCAGCACCATTCCTCCATTATATCATAAGAGACACAGGAAGCAGCTAGAGCCAAAGGCTGCATATACTGCAGTCACCCAAATACTCCTTGGTGCAAACCAAGGTGCTCCTCAAAGTCCTGACCAGTTATTCTTCACTGGATGCAGCCCTCCGCAGATCAGGTAATCTTCCATAAACTACAAAAACACACATAGGAGGGTGCAAACGCCTGGTACATTACCACCATACATTATTCAATTAAAAACAAATAATATACTCAGAAACCTAAATAATAACGGGTACATCAGACAACAAACACCCGCGGTAGGTGATGCCATCTTATCGTATGCTGATTGGAAGGCTCAGGCTTTTCTGGGTACAGGCCCCCTTCCTCAAAGCTAATGAGCTAGCATCGCAGGTGTGAAAATAAAGTGTTTCTCGCATCCTAACTAAAAAAAAAAAAAAAAAGAACTTGCTAACTTTATAGCCAGGCTTTTGAAGTGACCCAAATGATCTACAAGTAAAACAATAAGATTAACAATCATTTTACAAATCTGCACAATTTTTTTTTATATCAGCTGGGGCCCATGACAGCATAGCTTAGGTTATGGAAAGGGTGAACTTAACCTTTAAAGTCCAATTAACATTTGAGCCCAACTTTGGCAAAAGTAAAAGCCTTCCCTTCCCCAAAGCAGTTGGGTTAAATGCTCATTTAGTGTTAGTAAGTAGTTTTACTTGCTTGATTCTCCATTCCCCTGGCAAACAGTGCTCTTCTATGCTCCAACAGTGGACTGTCCCTTTGCATCCCAATGTTCAGTGCAGGGCTTAAGTAAGTAAATCCGCTTTACCTGGTCTCCCTTGACATAAATGTGCAATTAACCCTTGCTGTGCGGGTGCATGCCCCACTGCAAGGGAGCACTTTCACTTTTCCAGGAGTTTAGCTTCAAATTCTTTAAGTGAATTCCAAGTGTATTAAACAAAAATGTGTGCGAAGTCTTCCCATTTGTTTTCTTTAAAAATCGACCACAGCCTGAGTAGTAAAGAACATGTGCTTCCTCTTCCTTCTGTATTGAACTGTATTGTAATTGTACTGTCCCCCTTTATATTGTAAAGTGCTGCGCAAACTGTTGGCGCTATATAAATCCTGTATAATAATAATGTGTCCTGCCAGCATGCTGCAGTGTGGGACCCTCGGTATCAGTGGGAAAGCAGTGATCTCATCGCAGAGCTCCAACACACCCACTCTCCGAACATTGGGGAACATGACTTTGCTTGATTAAGGAGTCTTAGGTCTGCCTCAGTAAGGGGAAACCAGATCTCTGCAATAAGACCACTGTGTCCACACAGAAAGTGAGGGTCCCACTCAGCAGCTCCTATCAGGGGACAGGCTCTTCTACTATAATTAGCTCATTTAACTGACCGTTAGATTGGACTTTGTTCTCTTTGGGCTCAGTTCTAGAACACGATGATGATTTATCATTTTGGATGGTACGTGGTAATGCAGGTGAAGCAAATCTCTTTGTAGTCTGTAGACATTATTGGAACAACGGCACAATATTTTGAAGTACAGTGGGAAAATAAATACAGTACAATTTAGTGCAGTGCATGTAGAATGTTGCCTGTGTTTTTTAAGCATATATTTTGAGATGGCATGTCTATATGCCTTTCTATGTACAATATCTATAAACTGTGTCAAACTGGTTTATCAAATCTCTCATGTAAAACCCTTGTGCTTATTCCAAACTCAAACTCCCTGTGTGAAATAAAATTAAAATAAAAAAAAAATATTTGCTTTCTAAAATGTTACAACACTTTTATTTGATGTTTTTTTTTTTTTGGATGCATACACTCAGATTTATACTCACCAACCACTTTATCAGGTACACCTGTTCAATTGCTTGATAACACAAATTGCTAATGAGCCAATCACATGGCAGTAACTCAATGCATTTAGGCATCTAGATATGATGAGGACGACTTGCTAAAGTTAAAGTAACTGAGCATCAGAATATGGAAAAGAGGGTATTTAAGTGACTTTGAACGTGGCATGGTTGTTGGTGCCAGATGGGCTGGTCTGAATATTTCAAAAACTGCTGATCTACTGGGATCTTCACACACAACCATCTCTAAGGTTTACAGAGAATGGTCCGAAAAAGAGAAAATATCCAGTGAGCGGCAGTTGTGTAGACAAAAAAGCCTTGTTGATGTGAGAGGAGAATGGTCAGACTGGTTCGAGATGATAGAATGGCAACAGTAACTCATGTCACTATTGACCAAAATCTCTGAGGAAAGTTTCCACCACATTGTTGAATCTATGCCATGAAGAATTAAGGCAGTCCTGAAGGCAAAGGTGTCCAACCTGGTACTAGCTAATAAAGTGGCTGGTGAGTGTATATTTCACATAAAGTTAATTTACATCCTTGGGTTAGTAATTGATTTTCTTTCATCATCTTCTGAAAAGGCACAACTGGATAATTGTAAGGGATAAGGGTATTCCACTCTTTACTGATATGTCCATCCTTGTTACTTTATGGAATGTATCGTAAGCTGGTCAATGTTTGTTAAACTGCACAGTCTGGTAGCTATTTTGCCTCACAAAATGTAAGATTTGATTGGCAAATACTGCTTGCTGCTCATGCAGAGTTTTTTCAGTGGGGTCTCTAAAAAAGTATCGGCCATGTATAGTCGCCAGGAGAGTTGACAATGTTGTAGAAGCAGACCGGAGGAATTCATCTTCCGTCATTCTCATCTCTTGTAAAACATCTCCATGAGTGAAAACCACCGCCGTGAAATTTTTCCATTCGGGGCCCAGAAGATTCTGCACAAAATAAATATATTACAAACTACTCTCATTTATATATAAATAACAGTGAACACTTAATCAAACCCAAGTCCGGCTTGAAGGGATTGTTACCTCTTACCTGAAAATATTTTTAAATCTGAATTCAAGGAAAACAGCATGTGTGAGCTGTGATGGAAGCATTTCATATTTTGTACAGCCACAATTTTCTCTGCTGCTGTTAAGCTATTCAGGGTGGTCATCAACCCAACATCAGCTTGCTGACTTGCACTTAGAAGAAGTAGCAGAATGTAATGAATTCATCATTCATGTTATTTCTTGCTGTTAGAAAGCTTCCGCTGTTAGACTGACAGCACACTGCCGAAGAATCTTATTGGTTCATATTGCTGCCCCTTCTTCCCAGGGTGCAGCTAATTAATGAAAACTAATATAATGATGGATACAGGTACTTAGTTGTATTAAAAAAAAAAAAAAGCATATAAAATTGGAATAATTGGCAGTTTTGTTTTGTTTGTTTTTTAATATAAACATCTGGAGTTCAGCTTAACAATAGTAATTATGCAGTGTCTCCATTAAAAATATAATGCCCCTGCATGTACTGTCATCTCATAGCTAAATCGTGGTAAACGTTGTAGCAGATCCCAGTGGTGCATTGTTTTGGTTTCACTCATTAATAAAACTGGTGTATACTCCATAAAAATTATTCTAACAACATAATCACTTTTCTAGTTAAAAAAGACTTTAATAGACTGTGCATGTAAAATGGTTTGTCATACAAAACAATTTACACTGTTGGATAGACATAAGATTATTTTTTGTTGCATTTTCATTTATTTATGATTGTATATCATTATATATATAATATACTGTGTATATATACATATATATATATATATATATATATATATATATATATATATATATAAATTGGTTAAAACAATGTTATGTCAAATGGTCATGGTTACTGCTGCACAGCACCATCTGCTTTTACAGATATTAATGTATGGTATAGAATCACTAAAATCACACTTTAGCTTGTTACTTTTGATTTAATTCCAAAATCCATTTTTCAAATGTTAAATCTCTTACTTTCATTAAAGTAATTATATGTTATTCAGTTAAGGATTACATGTGATTTGAAGCCCCAATGAACCCTAAGGCTTTGTACTTATTTTGCAGTCAAGCTTTGTGAACTGCTGGAGACTTGGAGCACCAGTCCAACTCTCAAGTGTGGCACTCACCCAGATAACGTTTACATTTCAAATTACATGCCTTAGTAAACATTTTGAAAAAGTACTATAATTTTTACTTGGTAAAGTATATCAAATGTCAAAACTGGGAAGGATAACACCATGGACAGTTTTTCTTTTTTGCTTTGTTTTTGTTTGATGTGATTTTTACTTCCTGACCTGTAGACTCAACATGAAGTAAAAGGGTATCTTTCCAATGTAAGGGAATCTGCTCTTTCCTTTACAGCTGTCATGGGAAAAAGTGCCCCTGTTGGAGGTTTTCCTCTCTATTCCTGTTTTCTGTAGGTTTTTTTCCCTTTTTCACCAGGTAATTTGGCCAGTAACACAATTTCTGTTTTAAGGTGACTGTTTTTTTTTTTTTAAAAAGCAAAATAACTCATTGCTCATGTCATTCACCCTTGTTGAAGATCTAAAGCCAGCTATACATGGATCAAAATTCAGGAAGTTCAGCAGGGACCGACCAACTTTTCATCCATGTATGGGCTAGCTGGTTGTACAGCTACCAGTCAACTTGTGTACAACCAGCTTATTGAGTTTTTCCTGAACAATCAGTGCCGCCGACTATGGCAACACTGATCATTGTAGTCTGATAGCAGGGAAGGCTCCCTGCTGTCAGAATACAGTACCGCAGCGGGAAGGATTCCCCAATCAACCTCAAATGTGTGGATGGGGTATTTGGCTCATGTATGGCCATACTAAGTTTGGTAAAAAAAATTTCGGCAACCAGTACATTTTAGGGTGTGCCAGATACCTGATGCCCTGCATAAAAGCCCACCACAGGAAACTGCAGTACACAGTGGGGGGATTTTTCTTTGGATGCTTGCCATCTTTCTGTCCCAGGTGGGTGGTGGGTTGACTTACTCCAACTCTTAAAATGGTACTAAATGCAAACTCAAAAATGACATATGCTGCAGACTGTCAATAGCAATAATGCAGTCTTTGTTTTTCTGTGTCTCTCCTGTAACTTTTTTTACATTTTGATCCTCCTGTTATTTTTCAACTTACTTTATGAAATCAAGTGGTACAGCAAAATAGTCAGTTAGAGAGTTGGGACAAATCATTTAACATTGACAGGGGTGCTTACAATGGTCTTAATGCCTAAGCACAATTTTGCAACTTTGACACGTGTTCGCAAAACCATACATATCATCACAACTACTGTGTGCATCCAGGTGGATTATACCTTGTTTTTTTCAGGACAAATTGGGCTTTCATTTGGTGGTAAATGGTAATCTCCTTATTTTTTTTATTACCAAAGGAAAACTGGCCCGAAATAGTAAAAAAAAACCCTTTTTTAAATTTAGATGTATATTTCTTGCTACTACTATAACCTACCACAAAAGAACAACCTAAAATAATTTATCCTGCTCCTGACAATCGCAATGATACTGCATGTGTGTATGTTAGTTGTTGTTTGTACCCGTAGTACAGCCCAGAAACAATAGTGCGCAATTTGCTTTACTTTTTATTCTGCCACTAACTGACACTGATACTAATTTAAAAATTAAAAAAAAAGAACGGGACCCAAACAAGCAAACAAACAAACTAACCCTGACCTTGACCAAAACACTAACCCTGGCACAGACCTAGATCAAACCTTGATCTATGTATTTTTGTTTATTTTTAAATTATTTTTAGTTATTTAATTTATTATTTACACACGCTTGTTTTTTTTTTCTCTCTGGAAAGACAGAGAGAGAGATACAATATATCTCTCTCCTCCATTCAGAGACAGAAAACAAGGGGGGTGGGCTTCACAGTGACTGATCACTGTGATAGCCAATCAGAGGCTATCACAGCGATCAGGTGTCCTGGAATCCTAAGTTCTGGGTCCTGATCGTTAGAACGGGACCTGGGGCTCTCAGTGACGCCCAGGTCTTTGTGCTGGGAGTGGGCTATGTGGCGCGCTCCCAGTACAAAGACAGGTACGCAAATTAGCGGCCCCACAAAAAAAGCCTAGTTCTGTGAGGCTGCTAATTTGCGTGCAGCCGGTGTCAAGGGGTTAAAAAGTGTTAGATGGAGTTAGGCTTTAATTTGTTAGTCACTTATGTAAAGTCCCTCTAACTAGTCCATTTAACACTACCCTCTTCAGACACTGTTGCTGTCCAGGGGTATATTGCACCTCTGTAATAAGAAGCGCAACCCTAACGCCTTTTAAACAGTTGCAGAAACATGTTTCTTCCTTTTAGGATAAAGATTTTAACTATATGAATAAAGCTAACCATCGTAAGCACCCTTGTCAGTGTTAAATGGTTTATCCCAACCCGCTTACTGCACAGTTTGGTCTGGTAAAAGAAGCTGAAAAATAACTGTGGGTTAAATGGGTAAAAACAAAAACAAAGAGTACTATGTAAATGCTAGCGACAGGCTGCATCATATATGTCATTTTTAATTATGTATTTAGAATCAAAATGTAAATGTAAAAATGTACATGTCTAGTCTGCTCTACAGAACAGTAAGGCTACCCATATTGCACTGTTCACATCATAGCAATACACTCAAAAAATGTTTTTGGCTTTATTTAGTAGAAGTGAATGTATATATACAGTATACATTCACTTCTGCTAAAAAAAAAGCCAATCGCATTTTTTGAGTATATTGCTATGATGTGAACCGTGCAATATGGGTAGCCTTACTGTTCTCTAGAGCAGACTAGACGAGTCTCATGCTTTTCCTCCAAATCCTCTATACAACATTAAAAAATCATATTTTATTTGAAGATGCACATTCTGAAGCTTGCAAGTACTCATATGAAATAATACATAGAGGTTGACAGCAGGATGCAATCACGTGTCTCGGCTGTTTCTACCATGTGATTACATGATTGTATCCAGATAGATGAAAGCACGACTCACATTTCATGATCTTTAAAATGTTTTCATTTTTAAACAAATTGTGGAAATTATGAAACCCAATACACTATGGTTCTGGCACAGAATTGTACAGACACTGCAATATGAACATATGTTAAACTAAAAAGTACACGAACTTTAGAAAAGTTATGATGTTTTACTACACGAAATCTCATATTTTGGACATAAGTATAAAGACATCATTGTGAGTGTCCCACGCTACGCGTTTGAAGTTTTCAAACAGATCATTTAGGCCTTTCATAACACCATTCATTTTGAATTAGTCTCTGCAAAATGATTTTAGTTTTCAACATTAGGAAAATAAAAGCATTTTAGCCGAAGTAACATGTATTCTACTGCTCTAGCCCTATGTATAAATCTGCTGTGAAGGCCAAATACCCAAAGCTTTAGTATGGTGGCTCATTTTTGCCATGTTCTATACATGCACAAGTAATTCTATCTCCAATATATAACCATGCCTACACAGTGCAAAGCTGTATACAGCACAATGATCATCCAGTACACAGTAATATAATTAAACAACAAGCATGGACTGTGAAGGCCAAATACCCAAAGCTTTAGTATGGTGGCTCATTTTTGCCATGTTCTATACATGCATGTTTCAGTCCTCTCTCGTTGTTTAATTATATTACTGTGTACTGGTTGATCATTGTGCTGTATACAGCTTTGCACTGTGTAGGCATGGCTATATATTGGAGATAGAATTACTTGTGCATGAATGTTGTGTTTGTAAGCCAAATCCAGCACAACCACGTCTGGTGGATCTAAAAAAATAAACTGTTTGCATTTCATGTATTTCTGCTTGAATACCCCCTGCAGTGTGATGGTACAATTTAAAGTAAAATGTAAACTCAATCTGTTTAAAGGATAAGTTCACCTTTTGGGAAAAAATAAT